ACCCAACCCCGATGGCAAACACCGGGGGGGGCGGCTTGTTTTACAACGTCGTTGCCAACCGACGAAAACCCAACACCGATGGCAAACACGTTCGTTAATTGGTGGGGGGGGTGTTTTCCTGCATTTTCAGCTAAACAATGGAATGCACTGCATCAGCTCTATCTCGTTGACACGAACGATTTTTTTTTTTTTTTAGGGAGGTAGCCTATAATACAAGCTATCGTCCGGTACCCACGAATACATCATACTCCTCTTCATGCCCGAGAACGAGCTGTTGGCGCGAGGGGTGGCTTAAGCGTTCGTTAATTGGCCGGTTTACTCTATATATAATAGAACAGTTCCCCTATAGTCTAAATCTTCCGTCTACAATTTCCCAACATAACATACCAGCTGCTCCATGATGAGCTCGCGAGGAAGAAGAGTACTGCGGTGTTCGCGTGCTTCGTCGACCTCACCAAGGCATACGATTCGGTGGACCGAGACCTAGTCTACTGTGGGACGTGCTCCGACGCTTCGGCGTGCCCCTGAAGATGCTGGCGGTCATTCGCCACTTCCACGAGGGCATGAGGGCGCGCGTCCGAACGGACGACGGGCAGTACTCGGAATGGTTCGACGAGGGCCAAGGCCTCCGACAGGGATGCAACCTGGCCCCGCTGCTGTTGTTCAACTTGTTCCTTGCCGCGATCGATGCTCATGGTCGCCGTGGCCGAGTTCGACAAGGACCCCAAGGTGACGGCGGACATGGTCAAGATCGGGACACAAGTGGAGTACACGGGCAAGAAGGGCAGGTCGGCGGGGAGGAAGACGACGGTGGTGACGGACGCGGAGGCCTTGTGGGCCATGCTCTACGCTGACGACGCGGCCATCGTCTCGCGCTCGCCGGAGAGTCTCGAGAAGATGATGTCGGTCATCGTGCGCGTGGCCGGCCTGTTCGGACTGATGGTGTCGGAGCCAAAGACGGAGATCATGTATGTGCATGCTGCCGAAAGGGATTGTGGAACGCCCGTTCACGGTCAGCGCCGCCGGCCAGACGTACAAGCAGACAGACCGGTTTGTGTACCTCGGACGTACCATCTCCGCGAACGGGAACGCCGACCGGGAGATCACGAGCCGCAGCTGCCGAGCGTGGGAGTAAGTGCTACCACCGGAACAGTGCTTCGATGTACGACGACAGGCGACGGGCCGACCGCCAGCTCAAGATCCGGCTACTCCAGGCTGAAGTGGTGGATTCTCTCTTGTATGGGTGCGCCTCGTGGAGCCTAACAGCGGAGCACTACTACTACACGAAGTTCAATGGGACCCACCGCCAGTTCCTTACACGGTGCATCATCGGCTGGAGCAAGCCGAAACGCTCAGACCGCCCCCTGTCCTATGCCCAGGCCCTCATCCAGGCAGGCTGCGAGGAAACCATCGAGGCCACCGTGCCCAAACAAACGGAGACTGTGTTTCGCGGGCTTTGTTATTATGCGCATGGAGGACAACCGCCTCCCCAAGCGCATGCATGCTGCTAGGAGCGATGGCGAGGGGCGTGAGATACCGGGGCGGGCAGGAGAGCGACTGGGTGTGTTAGTGGTTAGGATGATCCGAACTGGGGGTAGCTTGTCGCAAGACGTGTGTTGAATAGGG